TTGAAGCTGTAGGCAAACACGGGATTGCCGGCCTCTGTTTCTAGCCTGGTCAGCTCGGCTACTGGGCACAAAATGATGTAGTCACCAACAATTTGTTCCATGGCCCATCGATACTGTGCCTCGCCCTGCTTCTCCCCCTCCTGGCTGTACCACCGAGCCACAGCCTGGACGGCCCCTTCTGGTGCCCCTGGCACCATGAGCTTCAACACAAGCAGCAGCTCCTCCATACCGACGTTGCTGGCGTTCTGCAGCTGTAAGGTGGGGGCAGAAAAGAGTAGTAGGTAGGAGCCTTCGTTGGCAGTGAAACCAGCTGCGATGGGTATAGGCTGGCTCTGCTTAGCCTGCAGGAGTCTTGATGGTGAATCAGGCAGGAAATCCCCATCTGTTGTCGGCACAAAGGGCAGCCCCAGCAGCTCCCTGTGGCGCAAGATGGAGAACTCGTGTTTGGGGAACTCCCCGGGTTCTTTCCCCTGCAGGCAGCCCACCAAGGCCGTGTCATCGCTATCGGTGCAGCCCAGCAGCTGGCCCAGCCTCTGGCCTCTCTCCTTGGCCTCCTCAAGCGAACTTGAAGCCAAGGGTCCTGTCGGGGATCCGCTCTGCAGCATGGCGCGGGTGAAGAGGGGCCGGCTCCCCGGGGAGAGGAGGTGGAAGCCGACTGACGCAGCCCCAGAGCCATGGCCGGAAAGCATCACGTGGGCTGGATCCCCACCAAAGGCGGCTGCATTGTCCCGCAGCCAGCGCAGCGCCAGGCGCTGGTCCCACAGGCCGGCATTCCCCGGGGCGGCCGGGGGCAGAGACAAAAAGCCCAGCGCCCCCAGCCGGTAGTTCATGGAGGCCACGATCATTTTCCCGGTTGCTGCTAAAAAGCGCCCATCATAGATCTCAACGGAGGCTGCCCCGGTGAAGAACCCACCGCCGTGGATCCAGATGAGGATGGGGGCTGGTGTAGGGGGCCGGGGATGGGGCACCCAGACATTGAGGAAGAGGCAGTCCTCAGATTGCGGCGTGGTGGGTGTCAATAATTTGGTCTCAGGGTAACTAGGAAGCGGAGGCTGGTGGCAGACATTGCCGAAGCTGGTGGTTTCCAGGATTTGGCTCCAGGGCTGGTGGGGAAGCGGTTTCTGGAAGCGCAAGGTCCCCACGGGGGGCTCGGCGTAGGGGATGCCCAGGAAGGCCGTCACTGTGCTGGAGCCAGCCTGGAGGCGCTTGCCCCGGATGGGGCCACTGGTGGTGAGCACCACGGTGCCGTTGTCATTGGAGCCAGAGCTGAAGCTCGGCAGGGAGAGGAGGAACAGGCAGGGGAGGCGCGGGAGGGCCCCCCAGCATTGCAGCAGCGGGAAGGGAACCCCCCCCGCCCCGGAGGGAGTTATAGGAAAC